AACGAGTGAGGGCCAAAAGACCTGAAAGAAAGACTATTTTGTTATAATTAGCGTTAGTTTATTAATACTCACAGTTAGCGACGTGACCAGCGGAACTTCAAGTCCAACAGTTATTTTAGTTTTGCTTTGTGTGTATATGTAAGTTTTGTTTTAATTTTATTTTATGCTTACCTGTGTAGGGGGTTGGCGACTGGTCGTACGTACCTGAAAAATAAGAAAGTTTCGTTTAAGGTTTATTTTTGTTAGTGGTAAACGTGTTTTGGGTANACACACTAACGAAGTGTAACGTAGATGTTAAGGAGTAAGATACATACCGTTCCACCTACGCAAACAAGGTTAACACATACACATAATAGTAGCTCTTAAGGACAAAATAGAGATCACACTACACAAACACTAAAAAACAACACTTAAGGAAAAAAAGACATACCACAAAGTTTACACATGCAAACACTGTCCAAACACACAAAAAGAATTCCTTAAAACACACATAGAAATTATACATATACAGACACACACGTACATCAAGACACTCCATAAGAGCTCATTCATACACCATACACTCCACAGACATACATAGTACTTATACACACATACTCAGCCCTAAAGGCACACTTACACATACATAACAGGGGTAACAATAAACACATACATTAAAGGAAAATACACACGGCAGACACATCACACACACCCATGCATGCTACACACACGAATAAAATTTCTTATACCCGACATTTAGCCCATACCACAATTACACGAATGTCAACATTAACAAACCATTTATACACTAAACTATTACCACACGACACACCCACACACACACCCAAAATCTCGCCTTAAGGTGGAACTGTTACCGAGATAACAGGGGCNAAAGGTGCACTACTTCGCGCCGGCGTAGGAGAAGCNAGCGCGAAGAAGAAGGCGTGCGACGCCGTCAGAACAGTCTAAAACGAACTATCGTGCCGTACGGACGTGTGTTGCGACGAGCACGATTCTAAAATAGTTTGAGCGGCTCAAAGTGCGAATAAGCGCAGTATTAAGTAACATCCTATGTGTTAAGAAACGATAGTGTAACAAACATTTAATAAACGATATATGTACTGTAAATACCTGAAAAACACTGTGTCGAGTTGCGTTCGTTCTCGCCCGTCCATCCTGGATCCTGAGATCTCGTGGCAGCATCCTTGGATCTGAAACACAGGATAAAACCTTGACGCTTGGAGGATAAAGTGTCATCATTATCGNGAGTACCCGACTAATTGTAAGACTAACCCCGGTCACAACCTAACCTAAACTTTTCTTTCTGCACTCCCCCTCGCAAAATCTTTACTCATTTCTAACCTAACCTGTGTTACTACAATATCAATAAAAATGAGTGAAAATTTTGCGAGGGGGAGCGCAGAAAGAAAAGTTTAGGTTAGGTTAGATTTTAGGGGGAGTGCAGGGGGGGCGCAGCCCCCCCTGCCTACACGTGTACAACACCAACATAAAAAACATGAAAGAATTAGCATGTGATCCCATGCACTGTTATTTTTTGCGTAACGCGTA